TGATAAGTGTCTATTTTTGTGTGTGATTCTCTAGGTATCCTACATTAATGGTTTCCAGCAATTCCTCTCTGCTGGATGTTTGGCTAACTGGCTTCTGTCTCCCTCCTTTCTTGAATGAATGGGTTACATCAGCTAGTTTCCAAACCATGGGGACCCTTCGAGAGTCTGAGGGATTTTGAAAGATTTTGGGCAATGTCCATGTTATCTCTGCAGCCAGTCCTTTTAGGGGGCCGTTTGAATTTGGGATACCTTTTCCATTCACCCTGATTGTGAAATGTATTGAGTGCATTTGTTCTGTTTTGCAAAATTAGGAGATACAGATGAAAGAATTTATGGAAAAATATGACAAGAATGCGGATGGCAGGATTGAGATCGCAGAGGTAAGTGTGTCTGTGTCACTGATTTGGGTTACATTCTTAACATCCGCCTTCCTGCCGCTCCAAGTGAGTGACAATACAAGTGCTGCCCCATTGTGGAAAGATTTCTGCCATTCTGTTGATACGGTATTTCATTATGGAAGGCCCTCACCTTCATTTTCAATCTGTACTCAGCTGGCTGGTCTAATCCTGAGGAATTGGCCTCAGAGCCTTTGGATGGGGAGCCTGGCTCGGATGGGAGTGGTGAAATCTTGCCTAGGGCTGGAATTGGGTATAACTGAGATTTTTCGCACTCCCCACCCCCGTAGTCAAACAGCCCATGATGACAAGGTTTGAATCCACAGTAGGAATTTTCAGGAGAAAATGGACAGAAAAAGGTTTGATATTTTAAATATCCTACAGGGGGCGTGGATGGGTAATATAATTGAGCTCTGTCTCACAGCAGTGGCGTAGGCTCACATTGGCTGAACCATGACCAGGTTGGTCTGAGTGATTTGCAGACATGACCACGCCAGCCTTTCCTGGGTATCTCTGCAAGACCAGCCAGGAAGTTACATTGGTGGCGATAGTCACTGGGAGGTCAGAGCTCTGGTCCCTGTACTGGCATTGGGAGATGGAGGTGGGGAGCGGGGGTGGAAGAGTTCTGTGGGAAGTAGAGACCAGAGGGAAGTAACAACACTCAACTATTCTCTTGCAGCTGGCCCAGATACTTCCAACAGAAGAGAACTTCCTCTTATGTTTCCGACAGTGCGTACGGTCCAGTGCGGAGTTTATGGAGGTATGAGGAATGAGGCTGGGTGATGTGAGGCTGGAAGGTGGACTACACTGCCTTCCAATTTAAACACATTAGGCATGGAAAAAATTCCCTTCTGCCCAGGGTCACTTTGCAAATGTGATGGGGAATGGATGTTGCATGGTGACTTTTCATCTCTCTCGGGTGTTTCTTCTCGGGGCCCAGAACAAACACGGGCCGCAAACCTAACTGTGATATTGAGTGTTAATGATTCATATTGGGACATTGCATGCAGAGCTGTTGAAGGCAGCAGGTCCAGACAGCAAAACTGTCCCCACTACAGTATTGATTGGTCGAACTCATTCCTGTTTTGTAATTTGCCTTGACTTTGAACATTCTCCCCGTATCTGCGTGGGTTTCCTCCAGGTGCTCTGGTTTCTTCCCACAGTCCAAAGATGTGCAGGTTAGGTGGTTTGCTAATGCTAAATTGCCTGTAGTGTCCAGTTTAAATGGATTAGCCATGGTAGGACGTGGGTGTTATAGGGCTGTGTCTGGTTGGGATGCTCTTCAGAGGGTCAGATACACCTGATGGCCCAAATGGCCTCTTTCTGCACTGCATGGAGTCTATGGCTTTAAGTTCTCCCTATATCACTAGATCTCACTTCGGGAGAAATTGTTGCTTCCACCAACTGCGCCTGTCCAAATCTACAGCTAACACTTTTGTGACTGAGTTGCCCTGGAAACATTAGTTGCTAAATGGTATGCTGCAACAAGCATAAACTGCACAGATCTCAATAATCTCAGGTTAGAGTACCGGATGCATCTGGTAAAAACTCGATTTAAGAAAGTAGTCCTTCACATGTATAATGCCGAATGCTTAGAGCAGGCTCCTGGGCTGGATAGTGGAGGTACAGCATTTGAATTCACATTCCACAGTCAGATACCGACGAACAGATTGGAGGTGTTTTTCAGATGGATGAGCTAAAATGGTCTCACTTGTCAAACAGAAAGAGCACTGGCGGCCTCTAGTGGAAGGGACAATAATATTCCAGCACGATGATCTGTCTGCACTTTAAAACATATTCAGATATTGTCTCTTTAATCACTGACTGGATGATCCATTGGGTGGGGCTTTTTTAACCATCTGCTTAGCCCATGGAATCACATGACTTTCGGGCTTATTCTTTTTAATGTGGTATTTACTGTCATTTCTGCACTGATGTCCAAGCTATTTAAATGGCTTCCTTTGTCCTCACAAGCTTGTCAATTTACCCTCAGTGTTACACCTTTGGATTTTCCACACTGAAGCAATGCAGATACAAGCCTGCATCTACAGTCCTGCTTTTGTGCTCACACTGAGATCAGATGCTCCTACTCCAATCTGGAACCTCGTATATCTTTAATGATCAAATCAATGTCTAGTCCAGCCAGAATTCAGCTGGAGCCCAGGACTCTGCCTCAGTCTTGCAGCCAGCAGAAAGCCTTTTCCATCATCCCCAATCTAGCAATTCATGCTGAGAGCTGTGGGAACGTCTTCACTCACTTATCTGTCTCCAGTCTGAGTTCTGATTCTGATCTCATTTTCTTAGCTGCTTCCCTCTGTTTCTCGGATACAGCAACAGTGGTCATATTGCCAGATCAGTAACAGCTTGGCTAATGATTGTGGAGATATGAGTTCAAATCCCATTCTGGAAGTTGGTGCATTTAAATTATTAAAAGCTGGAATAAAAGCTCTTTAATGACCATTGAACTTGCTGCCCAACGTTTTCACAAGTGTCCCTTAGAGAAGGAAATCTGTTGTACTTACCTGGTCTGACATACAGACCCACAATTTGATTAACTCTTAACTGCCCTCTGAAGAGCATCAAGAAAAAATGTAAATTGCTAAATTTTTAAAATAAGTCTGGATTATCCAGACCTATGCAAAGTGCTCCTCACTAACACTGGGGACTCATGTGGACAGAAAGCCGTCAACATCCAAATGATGGACCAAAACAATCTGCTTTTTTTTGCTGCAATATTCCACGATTCTGTAGTTAAATATTCTATTGTCCAATTATCCTAAACTGTCCTTTTGTTTTACAGACCTGGAGGAAATATGATGCAGACTGTAGTGGATACATCGAAGCAAATGAACTGAAGGTACATCCAATTTTATATCTATGTTTTTAAAATGTACCATTGCAGTAAATGTCCAATTACTAAACATATCTTAACTCATACATGGCCTAATATAGAAATCTATAACATTTTTCCTATTCAGAAGTTCAGTCTTATTCAATCACCAGAAAGATTAAAGAGTATTTGTTAGTAAGGAAATAATGACTTGTTTCTCTCTCACACCTTTTCATGTTCCAGGGATATCTCACAGTGTTCCAGGTTCAAAGCTGTAGGTTTTCACTTTCAACCCCTGGGTGGTAGTTGGTAACATATTAATCACCATCTCATTTTCTAACCTAACTGTCATTCCATCAATTTTAGAAGGCACCACTGTTTGATTATAACATGAATTAGTTTTTCTCCTTGGGATTCTACCCATGGGTATTTTTTCCCTGCCACATTGCACAATTAAAGAATATTCAGCAAGCAACTCACTTTCAGTTCAAAAAACTACAAGAATGTAGAAATTCAATCTGATAAATCTATTTATGCTCTGGACTGTTAACAGAAGACAACTGTGAAACTGTCAAATGATCATAAAAACCCAATTGCAACATTGATGTTGTCTAACCTGCCATCCCTACCCAGAGTTAGCCAACCATGACTCTCACTAATGGCTTAGCAAACTCGAAACAAGAATGAAGCTCTGCAGCAGGGTGGTGCCCATACACATTTGCAAAAGTAAAGTGTAGTCAGTTCATTTTCGAAAGCGGAGTATCAGACCTTGTAAAATTGATTTAACATGGGAAATCACGGGCCCCTTTTGATGGCCTAATCAGGTGAGAAATGTGTCAACGTTGAAGAAATAATAAGGTATCAGTATCTAATTGTGAGCTGATTGGATAGCTTGATCAGTACATCTCTAGAGATTTTAGTGAGGTGGTCTCTGATTGATGTTTGGTGAGATAATCTGTGATTGGATTACTTGGTCAGATTTGGACACAGTGGAGTCATGGTAAAGCCACTGAACTAGTAATCCAAGGGCCCAAGTTAATGTTTAGGAGAGGGACTCTTTTTGTGGTGCAGAGATAGTGTCCCTACCGCTGAAACAGGAGATTCTTTGAAGACAGTTCAGCCTCAAAATTGCATTGACCTGATTTACATTCAAATTATTAAAGTGCCCCCAGAAATTTTCAGATTGGATAGTTTTTTAGCAGTAGATCTTTGGGAAGAAAAGTGCTCTTACTTAGGATTACAAACGCTGTGATGCCATGTTGAAGCAGTATATAATTGGTGCCTGAATGATTTCAGAGACTGGATGTTTGGTTGCAAAAACTGTTGGTGTGATTGGTTGATGAGTGGGACAATATATTTCTTGTTGATATGTTGGATAGTGAGCATTTCCCTTCCATGATCAGCGATCCATCTTGCATACTCTGTCTCACACATACACACAAAAACACTTGCACATTCTCACTCTCACACGCACATACTCAGGCTGCCGCGCACGCATGCATGCGCACTCCCACACCCACTCTTGCACAAACACTCACTCTCTCAGATACACGTACTGTCTCATATGCACACTTTCTTTCACACACACACACACACACACACACACACACACACACACACACACACACACACACACACACACAGTCATGGAGATATACAGACAGACTCTTCAATCCAACACGTCCATGCTGACCAGACATCCCAGGTAAATCTAGTCCCATTTGCATCTATCCCTCTAAACCCTTCCTGTTCGTATACCTATCCAGATGCCTTAAAATTTTGTAATTGTACCAGCCTGCAACACTTCCTCTGGCAGCTCATGTCATATACACACCACCGTCTGCTTGAAGAAGTTATCCCTTAGGTCCCTTTTAAATCTTTCCTCCGTCACCTTAAACCTATGCCCTCTAGTTTTAGACACCCCCAACCCTGGGAAAAGACCTTGTATATTTACCCTATCCATGCCCCTCATTATTTCATAAACTTCTATAAGGTCACCCCTCAGCCTCTAATGCTCCAAAAAAAAAAATAGCCCTAGCCTATTCAGCCTCTTCCTATAGCTAAAACCCTCCAAGCCTGGCAACATCCTTGTAAATTTTTTCTGAACCCTTTCAAGTTTCACAACAGCCTTCCTATAGGTGGGAGACCAGAAGTGCATGCAGTATTCCAAAAGTGGCTGAACCAATGTCCTGTACAGCTGCAACATGACCTCCCAACTCCTATACTCAATGTACTGACCAATATAGGTAAGCGTACCAAATGCCTTCTTCACTATCCTATCTACCTGCGACTCCACTTTCAAGGAACTATGAACATGGCCTCTGTTCAGCAATACTCCCCAGGACCTTACCATTAAGTGTATAAGTCCTGCCCTAATTTGCCTTTCCAAAATGCAGCATCTCACATTTATCTAAATTAAACTCCATCTGCCACTCCTCGGCCCATTGGCCCATCTGATCAAGATCCCGTTGTACTCTGAGGTAACCTTCTTTGCTGTCCACTACACTTCCAATTTTGCTGTCATCTGCAAACTTACTAATCATACTTCCTATTTTCACATCCAAATCATTCATATAAATGATGAAAAGCAGTAGACCCAGCACTGATCCTTGTAGCACACCATTGGTCACAAGCCTGCAGTGTGAAAAGCAACTCTCCACCATTCTCCTCTGTCTTCTACCTTCGAGCCAGTTCTGTATCCAAATGGCTAGTTCTCCCTGTATTCCATGTGATCTAACCTTGCTAACCAGTCTACCATGAGGAACCTTGTCGAACACCTTACTGAAATCCACATAGATCACGTTCACCACTCTGCCCTCATCAATCCTCTTTATTTCTTCAAAAAACTCAGTCCGGTTAGTGAGACATGATTTCCATGCACAAAGCTATGTTGACTATCCCTAATCAGTCCTTACCTTTTCAAATACATGTAATTCCTGTCCCTCCAGGTTCCCTCCAACAACTTACCCACCACCGATGTCAGGCTCATGGGTCTATAGTTCCCTGGCTTCTCATTACCACCTTCCTTAAAAGTGGCTTCACACTAGCCAATGTCCAGTCTTCCAGCACGTCACCTATTCCTATTAATGATATAAATATCTCAGCAAGGGCCCAGCAATCACTTCCTAGCTTCCCACAGAGTTGTAGACTATGCCTAATCAGGTCCCAGGGATTTATCCACCTTTCATATGATTTAAGACATCCAGCACCTCCTTGTCTGTAATATGAGCATTTTTCAAGATGTCACTATTTCTTTCCCCACGTTCTCTATCTTCCATATCCTTCGCTCTCTAAAGTCACGCACTCCCTCTTTCACACATGCACAGAGTCACGCACGTACACAAACTCTCACACACCGGGTTGTCTCACATATTTACATGTTCCCAACACACAAACCCCCGCGTAAACACTCACACAGTCACTCACATACACACTGTGCACAATTCTGGTTGCCCTGCTATAGGAGGCATGTTATTAAACTGGAAAGGGTGCAGATTAGATGGATGAAGGATGTTACAAAGACTGGAGGGTTTGAGTTATAAGGAAAGGCTGGATAAGCTGAGACTTGTTTTCCTGGAGTATAGGAGGCTGAAGGCTGACCTTATAGAGGTTGATAAAATCAGGAGGGGCATAGATAAGGTGAATAGCCAAAATCTTCTCCCCACCATAGGGGAGTCCAAAACTAGAGGACATAGGTTTAAGGTGAGAGGGAGTAGGTCTAAAAGGGACCTAAGGGGGCAACCTTTTTCACAATGAGGGTGGTGCATATATGGAATGAGCTACTAGAAGAAGTGGTAGACATGGGTACAATAACAACCTTTGGACAGGTACATGAATAGGAAAGGTTTAGAGAGATATGGGCCAAACGCAGGCAAATGTGACTAATGCAGTTTGGGAAACCTGGTCAGCATGGACTAGTTGGGTTGAAGGGCCTGTTTCCGTGCTTTATGACTCTATGACTCTAAATATGACAATGAGGAATTCATGCCAACTGCCATAGGTTCAAAAACAGAGAGGCAGCAACACTTGCCCCTTTTTGAGGATGAAATGGTTCACTGAGCCATGATGCTAGTTGAAAATGTGAGACTGTTGGATGTGATAATAAACCAAAGCTTAAAATGCAAATTGATGCTAACCCATAAAACTGCTCATTTCATCATCACAGGACATTGAAATACACAGGTGGAACTATCACTTGGGTGAGATTAAGTCATTCTGGCCACTTTATGAAAGAACAAACTACAGCAAGAATTAAATATAGAAAATTTGAAAAAAACTGCATTTATATGTCACCTTTCACAACCCCACAAAGTCCCAAAACATTTCACAGAAGGCAGTGCCTTTGCAGCATAGTCAATGTTGGAACATAGGAAACATAGCAGCTCTCACATACAACAATGAGATAATGAGCAGATCATCTGTTGTATTCATATTGGTTTGGGGGTACGTTAGTCAGATTAAGTGGAATAGCTCAGTTGCTGTCCTTCTAAATAGTACTACAGTATTTTTTACATACAAAAAAGGAAAATTCAGCATCAGTTTGACTTCTAACTGGCCAGCAATGAGAAATGAAACACAGAGGTCAGTCATACCATTTCAGAATCCAAGAGTGTCCTCGAAGAGCTGGGGAATTAATTGACTAAACTCTGAACAAGGACATTACAACGTGTGCCAACAATGTAATTTTGAATAAAGAACTGAACAACATCAAATTAGAAAGCCCCTTCAAGATCAAGGTCACTTTGATCAGTTTGAAATTGATCTGAGATTGAAAAGAAAAGACAGAAGTTAGTTTTAAACACTGGTATTCTGACATTACATCAGAAGATCAGCCACTGGTTAGCTGAAGAATCCGCCAGGAGTCTGTACATCAATGTGAGTACAGTCATCTCACCAGCTCATCAACTGTCACGAGCGAGAAAAAGGTGCCAAAAATTCAGAAAACATCTCTGGGGGAAGCATGAGGTATTCTTTTATTGTAGGATGCTGTTCCTGGATTGACACCATTTTGATTAACATGGATTCCCCATAACTTTATTCCCTATGATTCCAATAACACCAGCCTGATCAGTGATGGCCTGATTCTATTTTAACACTTCATACCAGGAGGACTGCAATATTAACTTTATTTTTCTGCTTATACTAAGCACAACGGTAACACTTTTAACTTTGTTTCTCTAAGTTTTGTACCTAGGTACCTTCATACCTAAGATAGCGCCATGAGTGGTGACATTGTACAATTTTCACTGTACTCCTGTACTTCTGTCCTACAAAAGCTTAAATAAAATCAATCCTGATTCCCAGCAGCATGGAGAATGAATTGTGCGCTGAAACTCAGTGTTCCTGGGCACATTCCTATTCATTCAGCCCTTACCTGCTTCAGTTTTAGGGCAGCAGGGTGGTTCAGTGGTTAGCACTGCTGCCTCACAACGCTAGGGACCCGGGTTCAATCCCACCCTCGGGCGACTGTCTGTGTGGAGTTTGCACGTTCTCCCCGTGTCTGCATGGGTTTCCTCCAGGTGCTCTGGTTTCCTCCCACAGTCCAAAGATGTGCAGGTTAGGTGGGTTAGCTGTGCTAAATTGCCCATAGTGTCCAGGGATGTGTAAGTTAGGTGGATTAGCCATGGGAAATGGACGAATAGGGTAGGGGGATGGAGATGGGTCTGGGTGGGATGCTCTTTGGAGGGTCGGTGTGGACTTGTTGGGCCGAATGGCCGTGTTTCCGCACTGTGGGGATCCTACAAGTTAAGACCAGATTGATTCCCAACGACACTGAGCAATCCTCAACCTTCAGATTCCAGAGCCCCAGATGACACAGCTAAAGATCCACAGCCTTCCACCTCCAGATAAACAAACTTGTGTATGAGACACGAAAGATTGAAATATATCCTTTTTGTATAATTTCATGTCAATTCTAATATTCTATATTGACCTTGCGCTCGTATTGTGTACTTGTTTGATGATCTAGAGAAAGGTAATCTGAACATTTGCATTAGTTCCTGCAGGAATATGCATTTTGAATAAGGTAGTTTCGCTTAATGTAGTGATTTTCACAAACAAAACTGTCATGTTAACCAAGGACTACTTGGATATTGAATGAGAATGAACCTATAGCTTTAAAACTATTGCAGAAAGCCCTCAATTTGCCTCCCTTTACCACTATCCAACTTCTAAAACTGAGGTAAACACAAAGAATTGCAAATGCTGGAAGTCTGAAACAAAAACAGAGTGCTAGAGAAAGGTCTGGCAGCATCTGTAAAAAGAAAACAGTTAACGTTTTGAGTCCTTTGTCAGAACTGAAGATAGCTGGGGGATGGGTGGTATTTATGCTAATGATGGGGTGAGGGGAGGGAACAGGGCAATTAGGGATAGAGCCCAAAGAGAGAAAGAGAAAGAAAGAGATAGCTGATGAGAAGCTGAGAAAGAGCTAAATGCTAAATAGGATGCCAACGAGAAGTGCAGATGGTTGAAAGTGTGTCAACTGTGCAGGGAGCAACTCAAACAATACCTGGGGTATGGGGGAAGGATAACCAACATGGAGGAAAGTGGTCCTGTTCTGAAATTGTTAAACTCAATGTCGAGTCCTGAAGGCTGTAAGGTACCAAGGTGGAAGATGAGGTGTTCCTCCTCCAGATCGCACTGAGCCTCACTGGGGCACTGCAGCAGGCCTGAGACAGAAATGGTGGTGTGGGAACACAGGTGCTGTGTTGAAGTGGCAGGCAACTGGAAACTCAACAGCATTTTTAATGACTGTCTCAGGAATAACAGAATGTCACGTCTGTTTTTCCATTGCCTGTATCACAGTCTCAGGACATTCCAAAGCATTTATAATGAAACACTGTTTAAAGTGTAAGCCCTCCTGGAATGAAGGTAATGGGGTTGCAATCTTCCAGATTGATCACCTGAACATCCCTGTGAGCAATCCCAGGTGAAAGAGATAGCAAGAACTGCCAATGCTGGAGTCAGAGATAACACAGTGTGGAGCTGGAGGAACACAGCAGGCCAGGCAGCAGGCAGCATCAGAGGAACAGGAAAGCTGAGGTTTCGGGTTGCCGAAACATAAGCTTTCCTGTTCCTCTGTTGCTGTCTGGCCTGCTGTGTTCCTCCAGCTCCACAGTGTGTTATCCCAGGTGAAAGATACCTTTTCATTTTCATCTTCCGTCAACATTTTTAGTTCTTGGTTAGACACATAGCAGAATGTAAAATAGACTGGGCAGGTCAGTGGGAGTTCATATTATGTGAAACTTCCACATTATGTCAAACTACAGTAGGCAACTTATGAAAAATGCCTGATCCTGGATTGCTACGAGGCAACACACTGTACCATAAAGCAGAGCAGCTTGGAATTACTGAGCAGCACCCATAATTCCTTTATTCCTACATTAAAATTGTGACTGGACTGCAAAAAGTACTTTAAATTTCTCTAAAGCACTTCGGAAGTTCTGAAGATATGAAAGGTGCCATGGAAATGCACATCTTTATTGTTCTTTATCAAAAACATTCAGAGAGTCCACAGACTGCCAGTCTGCTTTAGGTGTGGCACAGGTCAGCACAAAGCACACAGACCAGGTGCCAACGTGATGCAACAGATCCAGAGCTACCGATTTTTGGTTGAAATGCTGAGGTGGGTGGAAGGGATAGAAAAGTGAGATAGAGATACTCACATCCCAGAGTTTAGTAAAAATTTGGAGACCTTGAAGATCAGAACCATCTGTGGGACAGGTACAATGTGCCAGGAATCTGAGTACCATCAAGCTCAGTGACCAGACCCCTGACTGGCACGACAATCGGTCTTACACAGAAGTTATTCCAACTGATCCAGTGATTTGTGGTTGTTCAGGGAAGGGTGTGAATTGGAAGCTCATTTTCCAGCCCAGCTGACTTTACTTTGTTTACTTTACAATGTAAAATCACACTGAAAGTACAATGGGTGTTTGACTTCAATCCACTCCACGGACACTGAGCCAGCCAGGCTACAATGGCCGCCTACACAAGTGTGGGAGGTGTGAGCCAGCAAAAATAGGGGCTTTTGTTTAGAAATTTCGAGTTGAAGCACTTCTTCACAAAATTGCCGGAAAACTGGAACTATTTGCCTCCCTAAGCTGTTGAGGCTGAGGACTAAATGAAAATTTCAACACAGATTGATGGGTTTTTGTTGACTAAGGTCATTACAAGTTAGGGAACCAGAGTAGGCTACATGGAGTTAAGATACAAATTGGTCATGATCCAACAAGCTCAAGGGGATGATTGGCCTACTCTTGTTCCTGTGCTCCTCCACTGCCTCTGGACCTGATCTGACATAATGAACCTAAACTGAACTGTTTCTTCCCACAGAGCTTCTTACTGGATTTGTTAAAGAAGGCAAACAGACACTACGATGACAAGAAGTTACAGGAGTATACTCAGACCATAGTGAGTAAATGTTAACCCTGACAGTGATATTCTTCACACCACAATCCATGCTCACCTCTCCCCCCGTCATCTCCCCTCAGGGAGAGACATTGCTCGGTGCTCTGGGCTGAGACCAGTGACATCAGTAAGGGTAGCGACATGGCTGCCAGCTTTGGGATTAGCACATGGACAGGGAAAAGGCTGGCTATGATCTCTCCACGGGCTGATGCCATCTCAGTGGGGACAATTAGCACTTGTGAAAACCGACACCAGCATCACGAGAGCTCCCCATCCCATCAGGCTCCCCGCCGCCAGTGAATGGAAAAGCTCTCCTTTTCTTCAAAGTTCACAGCTGCTTAGCTTCCTGCTTTCATCATCAGGGCCAGATGAGGCCGTGCAGTCCCTCAATCACAGAATCCCTACAGTGCAGAAAGAGGCTATTTGGCCCATCAAGTCTGTACTGATCCTCTAAAGAGTATCCCACCCAGATGCACAGACACCAGTCTACCCCACAGAACCCACATGGTTTTGTTTTAAACAGTGGCCAATCCCCCAAACCTACCTGTCTTTGGACTGTGGGAGGAAACTCATGCAGGCAAGGGAGAACGTGCAAACTCCACACAGACAGTCACCCAAGGGTGGCAGTGCTAACCAGTGAGCCCCCATGTCGCCCGAAGGAGAGAGGGGAAATGAAAGAGCCAGACCCTTTCTTCACACTTCACCTGCTAGTGCTAGTATTGGCCGTGGAAACTTCAGGACTGGGTAGTGGTATTCCTGTTGAGAAGGCAAGGCAAAGGGCCAAATTTCAGGCCGCAGGACATCACAGGTTAAAATCAGTAAGAGAAAGGGCAATGTGTATAAGGAAGAATCAAGATTAGGGGACTCCAAGAATAGGTTTTTCAAAGCCTGAAAGGACAGGTGGGGGCATACTGAGAAAGGTGAAGATTTCCACATCTCTCCTTCACCCACCCCTAACCTTCAATCCGCAGGACTCCCCAACTCTCAGACCTACTGCAACCTCTCTCAGGCCTCCTGCCGATCCAGGACTCACCACCAACACCCCAGCCCTCACAATGGAGGGCAAACCTGCAAGATTCGACCTCCCATTTTCCTGTTTTTACTGTGCCTTCACCTCAGCCACTGGCCAAGGCTGGGAAACCCGTGATCTATTGCGAGACTGGTGGGGAGAGCAGGTCGCAGTGGGAAACCTGTGATCTATTGTGAGACTGGTGGGGAGAGCAAGTTGCAGTGAGAAACCTGTGATATATTGTGGGGAGAGCAGGTTGAACTGGGCACATTACTTGTTTGTCAGATAATTTCTAGTGGAGCAGTTTGGACAATATCAGAGATACAACATCAAGTGACTGTGATGCCCAATGCACTGTCCTTGCTGGGAAAGGAACTGATTATGGGCAGATTTTATAGAAACACTGCCAACATGAGGAATCTCTGGGAATCACTATGTGATTATTACTTTTCTTTTCAGCTGAAAATATTTGATGCGAATGGAGATGGAAAATTGGGCCTTTCAGAAATGGCACGGTAAGTTAATCACCAAGTGATAATTGGACTGGGGTGGACGGCAGGGAATTGGGGAGGAAGGGAGCTTTTAAGTCAGGATGCTGCAGCCATCTTGGTACAGAAAAGGCTAGTGACTGCTCAGTCAGTGAGGCTATTGCTTCTGTGTCACAAGCTTCTCTGTTCGAGTCCCACCTCAGGGCTTAAGTGTATAAACTCTAGGTTAACATGCCAGTGCAGTGCTGAGGGAGTGCTGCAATTGTCAGCGTGCTATCTTTCAGATGAAATGTTAAACTTTAGACTATTGGGTCAGTATCACATAGATAACCACATTCATGAAGAATGCTGAAATATGATATTTTTCTATGACACAAGCCAAGGCAGACGATTACCTGCTTTTTGTACTTGTACAGGTTACATTGTGACCAAGTAGAGTAAGCGCCCCAGATAAGGATGCAGTGAAACATTTCACAAAGGAATTGAGCTGAGACAGGCAGACATAGGGCAAATGAAGTTCAAAATTGAAAAAGGCAAATGATCAAAATGCAGTGCTCAAAAATGCATATTTGCTTGGTGAATACTTGAAAAGGGAACAGGGACCAATTAGAGAATTTGGCACTTTGATTAGCTGCACAGTATGGCCAAGCAAAACTTTGCAAAAAGTATCAGCGTGCTGTATATAATCAAACAGCAAAGTATAGGTGCGCAGAGATTACAGAGGTGTTGATGCATGCAATTCTGGTCTGTGTGCTTCATGCACTGGATGGGGTGCAGAGAAGAGCCACAAAACTGACATGAAATGAATAAACAGTCAGAGAAAGTAAGAAAGCTGAGGACTATGTGATAAACACTGGCCCTCAGTCAGGCTCACAAATGTTAAGTAGCTTTGTTTGAAGTAGATCCAAAAATTTATTCTGTAGCTAGCCAGAAAACTGAGAACAAGGCAATAAACTTAATTTTAATGACTGATTTAGAACATTGTGTACCAAGCCCAACTGCAGAGCAGCAGCAAATTCATCTATTTCTCCATCATCTTAAAGCATTTCTGGCTCCAATATTAAACACCCTCTTCCAAAGAGGGCAAATTAAAGACTCAAATACAGGAACATTTCTCACTTGCTGCCTTTTCTCAAGACAGCAGGGTTCTCCCAGGGGTTCTGAAACTTGACAGTGAACAAGACATAGGAGCTGCCAGCTTCATAAATGTAGGCCTGTGTCCACACCCCTCATTGGTCATAAGGCCAGCCTACTCCGCCTAACTTCTTGAGTAAGTCTTTGACCTCCCTCCTGCTGATTGAGACCTCTAACACAACAACCCCACCACTTGGTGCTGTGTACTAAGATTGGCCCAATTTCTTTCACGTGGGACCAGACAGTAAACGGGGAGACTTCTGCCTCTGAATCTGAGTTTTACATCCTCTCAGCCTTTTCCCTGCACTTGACAGGGCGCTGAGGTGCTTTTAGGTACAAAAGCAAACTCTACAGTCTGTCAGGGTTTACCACATTATAACAAAGTAAGGAGCAGGACTAGGCAGTTAAGCCCCTCAGGCCTGCTCCACCATTTAATACAATCAGTGCTGATCTTACTTTGGCCTCAATTCCAATTTCTTGCCTGCCCTCCATAACCCTTCAACTCATAACAACTGAAAAATCTCCTCCTAGATTTACCAAATATCCCAGAAATCTTGGGTACTGAATCCCACAGATTCACAATGCTTTAAAAGTAGTAATTTCTCCTCATCTCTGTTTTAAATCTGCTACCCCTTATCCTAAAGATATGACCTCTCGTCCTACATTGCCACACACGAGGAAACATCCTCTGTACAGCTACTATCAATCTCTTTAGCATCTTATATACCTCAATTAGATCTCGTCCCATTCTTCTAAGGTCCAGAGAATATAGGTCTAAACTGGTCAATCTCACTCCATAGAACCATGCAGTACAAAAGAGGCCCTTTGGCCCATCAAATTTGTACTGATTACACAAGTTCCACTTTCTTTTGACATTTCAAGTGCTCATCCAAGTACCTTTTAAAGGCTGAAGGTTCCTGCCTCAACTACTCTCCCAGGCAGTGCATTCCAGACACCCAAAGTTTTCTCCTTAAATTCCCTCTAAGCATCATGCCTTTCACTTTACAATTATGCCCCTTGTTACTGACCCTTCAATTAAGGGGAACAAGCTGCTTTCTATCCACCCTGTTCATGCCCCTCAATCTTATACACCTCTATCAAGTTCTCAGCCTTCTCAGCTCTACAGAAAACAACGCAAGCCTATTTCTTTTTCTAATCAACCTGTTCAGAGATGTTATTTACACGCCTCTGGAGCAGACTGGGACTTGAACCCAGGCCTTCCGATTCAGGGGTAGGGACATTACCATTGCACCACAAGAGGGTCAACAACACAAGCCTATCTTGCCTCCCTTCATAGCTATACTGCTCCATCCCAGGCAACATCCTGGTGAGTCTCCTCTGCACCCACTCCTGTGCAATCACATCCTTCCTATAGTGTGGAGACCAGAACTGAACATAGTACTCCAGCTGTGGCCTAACCAAAGTTCTGTTCAGCTCCAACATAACCTCCCTTCTCTTATAATCTATAAAGATAAAGGCAGGCATCCTGTACGCATTCTTAACTACCCTATTAACTTATCCTGCTGCCTTCAGGGATCTATGGACAAGCACCTCAAGAACCCTCTGGTCCTCTGAGCTTCCTAGTGTCCTGCCATTAATTGGCTACTCCTTCATCTTGTTCCTTCCTCCAAAGCGTACCACCTCACATTAAGATTAAATTCCATTTGTCACAGATTGGTCAGATGCACAGATCAGTTTGTATTCTTCTGTAACCTAATACATTCCTCCTCACATGTCAACCACCCGGCCAATCTGTGTGTCATCAGCAAACTTACTTATCGTCACCCCAAAATTCTCATTTACGTCATTTATAAATATCACAAACAATAAGGGATCCAGCACTCATCCTTGTGCTACACCGCTACACACTGTCCTCCAGGCACGCCTTCTGCCACCACCCTCTGTCTCCTGTCACTAAGATCCATCTTGCCAAGTTACCCAGGACCCTATGAGCTTTGACCTTTTATATCAGTTTCCCATGTGGAATCTTGTTACATAAACTTCATTAACTGCCCCACCCTCAATCAATGACTTGGATGCCTCCTTGAAAAATACCAAGTTTGTTAGGCATGCTGTCCCTCTGACAAAGCCATGCTGTCTATCCCTGATAAAACTTTGCCTGTCTAAATGGGAACTAATTTTCTCCTTCACTATTTACATCCTTCTACCGACATGAGACTCGCTGGTCTGTAGTTCTCAGGTCTACTTTTACCATCCTTCTCGTAAAGTGGAATCACAGTAGCTGTCCTCTAGTCTTCTGGCACTCCCTGTGGCCAGAGATGATTTAAAAATTTGGGTTAGGGCTCCTGTAATAACCTCCCTCATCTCCCACAGCAGCCTGGGATACAACGCATTTGGACCTGGGAATCTGTCTACTTATAAATCCACCAAAACCTCCAGCATCACCCCACTTCTTATATCAATCTGCTCAAGAACTTCACAGTCCATCTTTTAGAATTCTGCACTTAAATCCTCCTCTTCCCAAGTAAAGACAGCTGTGAAGTAAGACAAATCCCTCATCTCTGGAATTAATCTAGTGAACCAAGTGATTCTAGCCAATTATGGTCAACTGTGCGTTGCAAAGTAAGTTCAGGTTGTCCTAATTTATTTCATGTAGAACGCTTATCACCAGCAAAGAAAAGCCATTAAGCTCGAACTCAACCAGGATCTCGTTCCTTACGGGAGGTTATGAAAAATACAGCTTTTTATTCCAGGAGGCAGCTAGAGGATTTGTGAACTGAATGACTTTAGCTTGTTGCTGTCCCCTGATATTCATCATACAAGAAAAGGCGGTCATTAAACCAAACACTTCCATTTGCCAATGTTGGGTTTTACTCATTCCACATACCACTTTCAGTCACTTCATATGCCACATCAAGCCAAATTCATGTGCCACAGCACCATGTCACCATGTGTGATTTAATTTATTATTGTCACGTACTGAGATACAGTGAAAAGTATTGTTTTGTGTGCCATCCAGGCAAATCCTACCTTACATAAGTACATCAGGGCAATAGAACAGAATGCAGAATACAGTGTTACAGCTACAGAGAAGGTGCAGAGAGAGATCAAATTCACTATATGAGAGTTCCGTGCAAAAATCTGATAACAGTGGGGAAGAAGATGTTCTTGAATCTGTTGGTTACTACTGTACCACTTCAATCTGAATCAGCAGGGAACCCTGCTGTAGCACTTTGGTCTGGACCTGTTTTTAAATAGATGCAATGAAGATGTGAGAGGAAACTCTCAGACGGTGTTGGTCAATCCTTGTACATGCGTTTGGCTCATTCCATTGTTTATTCAAAAACGTTTTCAGCCATAGTTCAGCACTACTACCCCTGAATCAGAAAGTCACATTCCAGAGAACTGAGCACATAACTTAGCCAGACAATCCAGAGCAATGTTGGTGGAATGCTACATTGTTGAAGAAACCATCTTTTCGTTGAGATATTAAATCAAGAGCCAGTCTCCCTTCTCAAGCAAAAGTAAAATCTCTCATTTGGCAGAAAAACAGAGAATGTATCTCTAGTGTCCTGCAAACATTTATGCTTCCAGCAGCAGTACCAAATGGATTATCTGGTAATTATTCACATTGCTATTTATGGGAACTAGCTGTGTTCAAAATGGCTGCCATGTTTTCCACATTGTAGCAGCAACTGTAATTCCACTCACACTTCATTACCAGTAAAGTGTTTTGGGGTGTCTAGTGCTACATAAATGCGCATTGTTTTCTTTTCATTCTTTTAAATTGCAAATGTACTTACTTAATATGTAGAAAGTGATTGGGCTGCTGTTGAACTTGTGTAACACTTTTTTTTTTACTTTTTTCAGTTTATTACCTGTTCAGGAAAACTTTTTGCTGAGGTTTCAGGTGAGTGCATTTGAACTCTTCTTTCCTGTTTCATGTCGGCTCGGAGTATAGCTCCAAGAGTGCTGGTTGCCACCTGGTACTTCAGCCAAGTGCCTAAACTTCATGTGTGAGCCTGCACCATGAGTGGCTACTCAACATTTGTAAGGCATCGTAACAAACGCTGAGCCTATTCTTTCCCAGGGTCCAACATACGTACATTTTCCAACACTGGACAGTGCTCAGGAGCAGCAAGCCCTGCTGATTTCGGTCTTCTATGGCCCAGCTGTAACGCTTCTATCCCCAGCACCCAATTAAGTTCCGCTAGCTAAGCTCAAGCCAGAGATATCATTTGAGAGCTTCTGTCTTGGGGAATTGTTTCAACTGAATTGTACAGCACACTGTATTTCTTTACTGGCCCATTAAAGGCTGATCTCCTGATTCCCTGTAATGGGGCAAAATGTGCATTGATTGTATCTACTGCCCCGTCACAGTGTCCAAAGTCCTTGTGTACCATTATTGTGAAATGCTCACACATAGCTTCCCTGAGAAACTTCTGAAAGAAAGTGCTCATTCCATACGAGGTCCTTGAACTCATCAGATTTTCAAATATTTGACGTACCACTCCCAACAGTTCAGATTAATGTCTCATCCACAACACCAAGGCTACCTTGGTCCAACAAACTAACTTTGTGACTGTGATTTGGATACCTTGTCTTTGTGGACCTCAACATAGTCTTTGAGATGACGACCGTTCAATTCTCTCATAGCCTGCCTTTGTATTGACTTCATACTTTATGATAAATATTTCCAAAGTTAGCTGGTACATCTTCTGGAATAAATTCCCCTTCTGTACCAAAGATCCATGCTCAGTTCCGTTTTCTTCCTTTACCTCATACAACGTCTCAGCACGGTCAGCTTCTGAACGTATCATGCAGGTTCCCAGCTTTACTCTTATCTCCACCTTGTCTCCATGATATTTACTGAGCTGTCTATTTAAAGTCAGATTATGAATCATCCAGAATTTCCTCCAGCCTAATATTGATAAGACGGAAGCCGTCCTGTTTGGATTCCACCATTAAATTCTGCCCCCTAGCCTCCATCCCATATCAGCTTCCCACTGAGGGGTGAACCTATCAGTGAGTAACCTTGGTATCCTGTTTGTTACTGAGCTTCAAATTCCATATTCTACTTCCACCTCCATAACATTAACTATCTTCAGCCAAGCCTTCATTGCTGTTGAGGTTTTCTGCCTTGCTTTCATTTTATCTATGCTCAGCTTACTCACTTGACTCCCATTGCACAGATTCCAACTCAACCAAGACTCAGCCACCTGAATCCTGTCATGTCTCATACATGGAGCACCCCTGCCATCCCTAGTGGATTTCAGTAGCTTTGTCTTTATTTCTACATCCTGCCTCATGTCTTCAGTATGTCCCCAGTATTATATCCCAACCATATGCTTCACTTGGCTGGTCAACCCCACTTATACTCCACCTTCAGTCATCTCACCTCTGCATTTCTATCAAACCTTCTGTTACTTCTGCAACCCATGTCTTCAACCACCCTTACAAGTCATTGTTCAGGATCGGTACCACTTTGTGATGCTTTAGTATGTTAAAGAAGCCTATCCAGTTGTTAGTTATTGGTGTCCATCAGTGGAAACAGACTGTTTAACACTGTATGTCGTCTCTTGTCTGTTCAATGTCTCTGCTACATTCAATATTTTTTAACCAGTTTTCTTTGTTTTACGTCATCCAGAAAAGAATATCAGTGCTGGAAATTGAAACTCTTCACATTTCAGCATGGGGTAAATGTAGACAAAAGCTCTCCAACAGCTGCCCACAAGTGGTACCCTAGTCCTACATTCAGAAGAGTGTCTCCCAATGGACCAATATTACACATGCATTTCTTACCAACCAATGTATTTAGTTTCAGTGCACCAGACTGGCAATCAAACTCACATCCCAGCAGTTTTATCTTGTGGATTTTCAAACGTGTTGTATTTACCCTAAGTTCATCTCCTGTAGAAAACTTGCATCACACCAAGGGCCGTATTTAATCCAGGTGAAATAGGTGAAAGACCAGCATTTTGATCTAGTCTCTGAGTCCAAACCATAACTTTCTAAAGTTCACTTGATTCAAGAGCTATTCTTTTAGATTGGAAAATTGAATGTGTCTCTCCGTTAATTAAGAAGGTGATAGAAGGAAACGAGGGAATTATAAAGCTGTTAGCCTAACATCTGCTGCTGAGGCTTATCAGAACTAATACTCAAGGACTGAATGACAGAACATCTTAAAATGTTTCAGAAGAGAGAGAGAATCAGCATGGATTTGTGAAGGGTAGGTTGTGCCTGACAAATCTGATTGAATTTGTTGAAGCGGTGACTAAAGATGTTGTTAAATTTTGAAAGGGTGCAGAAAAGATTTACAGGGATGTTGCCAGGTTTGGAGGGTTTGACCTACAGGGAGAGGCTGAATAGGCTGGAGCGATTTTCTCTGGAGCATTGGAGGCTGCGGGGTGACATTATAGAAGTTTATAAAATCCTGAGGGGCATGGATAGGGTCTTTTTCCCAGGGTAGGGGAGTCCTAGGAGGCATAGGTTTAAGATGAGAGGGGAAACATTTAAAAGGTACCTAAGGGACAACATTTTCGTGCAGATGGTCGTGCGTGTATGGAATGAGCTACCAGAGGAAATGGTAGAGGCTGGTACAATTACAACATTTAAAAGGCATCTGGATGGGTACATGAATAGGAAGGGTTTAGAGGGATATGGACAAATGTTAGCGACTGGGACTAGATTAATTTAGGATATCTGGTTGGCATGGACAAGTTAGACCGAAGGGTTTGTTTCCGTGCTGTACTGCTCTATGATTCTATGACTCAAAAACAGTGGTTAGGGAAATCCCTGTGGATGATATACAGATCAATGTCTGGAAAGTATTTAAGTTCCTTGTAAGCGACTGTGTTAAGTAAAGTTGAAACTCATGAAATTGACGACAAGCTGTTGTTGATCTGGTTCAGAAATGAGCTGAGTGGCAGGAGCATATGTAACAACAGTGGGCAGGTATTCTGATTGGAAATACTGTGGATACTGGAAATCTGAAATAGAAACAGAAGATGCTAGAGAAGCTCAGCAGGTCTAGCAGCATCTGTACAGAAAGAAACAAGAGTTAATGTTTTAAGTCTGATATGACCCTTCTTCAGAAGAGTCTGCTTTCTGTTTTTATCACTCTAATTGGAAGGTTCATGGTTATGACGCACTTGATCTACGTTGGGCCCGCACAATTCACTGCACTTATTACGAACTTGGATGATAGGATAGAAAGCAACAAAGCCAATTTGCCAATGACACAAAAATATGTGGTATAGATGGAAGCAAAAAATTATTATTGTATATTATAGTTATTGATTTCAGTGAATAGGCAAAACTGTGGCAAGTATTGCCAATTGTGAGATCATGCACTTTGGAGCTAAAAGAGATCAATTAGGGCACTTCCTAAATGGTGGAAAGGTAGAAACAAAGGAGATCTGTAAGAACTGTGGTGGAGGTAGTATGATTTAGCTGCACAGGTCAATACAGTTTCATGAAGAGGTACAGAAAATATTCAAAAACTGCCAGACTACATATCTGTAAGACTAGAATGGAAGTCATACTTCCAACATATTTCAATTACACTTAGAGTATTGTTAGCAATTCTGAGCACCACATCTTCGGAAGGAATTACAGGACGGGGTGGGGTAGATCCAACAGAACAATGTTTAGGCCGCACGGGGATGAAGCTGATTTACATAAGCAGCACAGAATGGTTTGGTAGTGAATCAGCAGCCAAATCTCTGCACACCAATTTTCTTCCCCTTGAAATTCACAAGACGATAATTTAAATTCTCGTTTCACTGTCAATTGAACTTTGATTTGAAATTCAAAATCTTGGCACTACTTCCCAAGTACAATGAAAAGTGAAAACTACCATAGTGAAAAATAGGCTGCCAATTTATAGAATGCCTACAGTGTGGAAGCAGGCAACTCAGCCCATCAAGTCCACACTGACCGTCCAAAGAGCATCCCACTCAGACCCACCCCATCCTTGTAACCCTAAATTTCCCATGTCTAACCCACTAGCTTACACAGCCTTGGACACTATGGGCAATTTAGCATGGCCAATCCACCTAACCTGAACACTTTTGGACTTTGGGAGGAAACCAGAGCACCCAGAGGAAACCCGGGCAGACACAGGGAGAATGTGCAAACTCCACACAGGCAGTCAACAGAGGATGGAATCGAACCTGGGTCCCCGGCACTGTCTGGCAGCAGTGCTAACCACCGAGTCACCATGTCACCCCAATTCATTACAATCTAGTTTTGTGCTGCTGATGGCAACCAATTTCATCCTGTTTTCCCTTCTGGATTAAATTACAGAGATTATACAAATTTAAATTGTATTCCCCATTATTTAGAAAGTTAGAGGTCAGTTTGGTTCAAGATATTTCAGGGAACAGAGCAAGGTAGATGCAAAAAAAATCTAATTCCTCTGGTTAGGGGGTCTAGGAATAGAGAATGTAGTCTAAACATTATTGGCAGGCCTTTCATGACAGGGTGGTAGATCTGTTCATCAAATGACAGTTGATGTTTGTAAATTAAAATCTAAGATTCATACTTTGCTATTAAGGAAAGTAAGGGGTAAGGACAGGTATATGGAGTTGTAGATCATAGATCAGTCACTGAATGGTGATGGCATATGCTCAAGAGGCTAGACGGCCCACTATGTTTGTACATTAACCTGGGCTCACTGGAGTTATAACTGCAAGTTATAGTCATTCAAAAAATAATTTAAAAATAACTACAGTGAGTGAGTACGGCCCAGTGTCAGTCACTGGTCTTTCAGTTTTGGGACCTGATTACAAATTCAACCCCAAATGATGGAACTGCAGGCTCCTCTCCTCTGTCTGCTGGTTGTAAAGAACCATAGAATCACTACAGTGTGGAAGCAGGCCATTCAGCCCATTGTGTCCATATTGACCC